AAAGAAGCCCTTTCATTCCCACGTTCAGGTGTGCACAAAACTATGTATTTAACACCTCCGGTCTGCGCGGCCGTGTTGGGTCTTTGTCAGGTGAAGAAAGAGAAGAAGGTTGGTACACCTTCCCAGGAATTCTCACTGAAGAAAACGTCTGGATTTTTTATATCTCTTGTGCAAAACAAACAGATTTCATTAAGTGATGTATATTGTTTTCCAAGGAAGAACCCTGCAGAGACAAAAACAAATAAGCAAATAAATGAAACAAAAATATGATTTTAAAAAAACCCAAATTCTTCCAATGCTAATTTACTTGTTATCATGGTTCTCTACAAAGGCAGAGATCACTAATTACAGGTTTTTCCAGAATACACATTTCATGTCAAGATCATCCAATCCAAACAGGGTACGGAAAGCCTAGGGCCTTCTCCTTCGCTTTGCCCCCTACCCCACCCTACACATACGCCCCCATCTAAATGACACCCTTGGAAAGAAACCTACACATCTCATTTATCTATATTTTGCTTCCTCGCTCGCCTCCCTGTAACCAAATGTGAGTTGTTCTCTAACTGCACTGGAAAATCAGAATTTATTGTACATATGTTTGTGTTCCACTTAATAAAAAAACCTATATTTTAAGATAAACTTTGTTAGTAATTCATGAGGTAAGTGACTATTTATGCTAATCAGGCAGAAATATATTCTCAAGCATAATGCATTACATAAATTTGAATGTAAAATGTTCAATTATGAAGTAAATACAGGTAATGCAAATAATAAATTACCTCTAATAAAAATTATAAAAGATGTGTCTTGAAAGAGAGAGCGGCTTTAACTTACAACTGTGAATTGCTTAAAGAGAAAAGAATTAATACATGCTGAATTACTCTGATGATTATTTAGCACATAATTCACCTATTCGTAACGACTCCTAGTAATCAGAGTATTGTTTCACATCCTCCAATATGAGGCAAGACTGTTTCCTCAGCAATTTTACCCTTATCAGATTATCTCGTCTGATTCTATTAATTTTCTTCCATGAATCTGCTAACAGTGATTTGTGATTTACTTACCCTGCTAACTGAAGACTGTTAAAAGGATTTATCTAACACTAGACCTAAGAACAGGGTACGCCTTATCATTCAGTTACTCTGAAGAACTCTTTCTCAAATCAATTTAGTTGGTTTCATAGTGAAATTTAGTGGACACTGGCTAGTTCTGCCCCATAAAATCAGCTCCTAAACAAAGACTTCAGACACTATACCTGATGCATCCCGTTCTATTCAGGTTATGGATGTCTGACTCCAGCATGATGTATTTGAGTTGCTGTAACTCACAATCGGGAAAAATATATTCCTTTAAGCTTTTAATCTTTGTAATTTGGACATGTACAGGGGTTTTGTTTTTCACTTTTGCATGAAGTCGTTATGTATGTACTGACATGAAACTATAATTGTGTTTCTGATGTTACTGTGTCACAATATTCTATGCGATGCAACCCATGCCCTCCTCCCCCTCAAAAATCTTCTATAAATATTCTTTGCTTTCAGAAACTTTAATACTACTGGTCTGCATTGGTCAATAATGACAAATGCATGGTTTCTAAATTACTGTATATTGTTCTACAGAGATTACTAGAGTATATACAGCAAGAGGATGTTAAGCAGTAAGAAAACACAGTTCACATTGTATTTGGATTAGATTGGCTTGGATAGAAGTGAAACAAACAATGTTAGCCAAGAAGTCTAAGGAAATGTGGCCCACTGTAATTGTACAGAATCAAAAACCTGAATAGTACTAATTAAAATGAGAGCGCTCAATTGTTATAAAAGAAATGCTGCTAACAGAGAACTGTAAATGTTTAGACACCCCTGTGAATCACTAAATAATAACGTAAAAAGGATAAAAATGAGAATTAAGTTGTAAGCCTGAGAGCACTACTGCTACACATCTAAAAAAATAATTCTGATCCTCTCTTTTTTTTTCCAGGAGAAAATGGGAGACTATAAAAGACCTTGCAATAAGAGAAATAAAAATACCATGTCTTGACAGCAGTGTACATAAATAAACCATAAAAATGTGCAGATAATAATATATTTAGCTGCCCAAATATGGGAATTTAATTTCTAGAAATGATATATAACAATGTAACAATTAGATACTCTGCCATGAATGTGTACGGCATAGTCTTCACCATTAGCAAATTTTGTGTATAAAATATTATTATTTATTATAATACTGCTTTCAGAGGCAGTGATCATACCTTAGAGCTTTTAACACAAATATGATGTAAAGGGATTAAAAATATAAACAAAAAATAAATTCTTTCTAAATATACTTAAATCCCTATTTTACATGAAAAATATAAACTTCAGACATTTGTGACTACTGACTTTTAAAAAGACCTAGAAAACTATTGTTATGGGCAATGTTAAATGACATAATGCCTATGTAACGGAAAGTGTGGATTTTCCTCTAAATACATAAACTATAATCCCTTAACTTCATTACTAGGTAAAATATTGTTAAAGAGAAGGAAAACAAGGGAATTCTGCTAGGTTGCATAAATATTGACATAATCTTCACTCTTTCTTCCCCAAACTGGTAATAGATATAGTTTATTCCACCCAACAAAATGCTCCTATAAAACCAAAACTACCCTTATAAACAACTTCTCTGCAGTCTCGAAGAAAAGAAACATTACTTGTCTGAAAAATACCGACAGCGCTGCCCTTTTCAGATTAGGATGTGCCTACAAATCTTTTGGGAAGTCTCCCATTAAGGATTCCTGGGTTTGCTGAAACTGCAGGCTACTAGGATCAGAGAAATTAACACAGGTCTAATCTGGTGCAAGGAGCGAGTGAGAGACACCTGAGGTTATAAATAGCAAAGTATGCTACGGGGTGGGGAAGACCATTCTGAAGTGCAATGTTCAAGATGCTGGCTTAATATATGACTAAGTGTCAGAAGTCAGGTTTTCTGAGAATTACTTTTCAGATAAACAACTTTATAGCACTGCACTTAATCTTACTAGAGACATCTCATTTATCACTGAATTACAAGTAACTTTAATTCTATTGATATTGCCATAAAGCCCGTTGAAAATCCCTCCTGGCACTTTTAAAGGGTTTGGGGCCCTGTTACATGGGGATCCGCTTGCAAAGGTCTCAGCCAGAAATTACACCCGGAGGGGGTCTGTATCCCCTGGCCTCCTTGTCAACAATCAAGAAGGGGAGGGGCAAAAATGATCCCTGCATCTGCCAGCACTTTCTTCGGCCCCTTTCCTATAGAGTCGGGTTCTCCCACTTCAGTCAAACTAACTTTCTGTGCCTCTTTCCTCCTTCCACATTGGGTAACCAGCTGCTTTTCACTTCATCGACAAAACTGGACACGGATCAATTTCAACTGACCTTTGCCGAAAGGTGGCGCTGTTGAGGTAAAAACCAACTCGCTCCAACAATAGTTTCCACTCTTCGATCTTTTTGCAGGCTTTTCAGAATTTTTTTTTTTTTTTTTTTTAATGCACCCTCCTAGAGTCTCCCCCCACCCCGCCCATGAAGTAAAATAAATACGATTAACAACACCAAATGCATTTCATTAATTGAAGGAATCAACAGTCCCAACTTCTAAGCAGGCGGACTGGTCTTCCAAAGGCCGGGTCGGTTTCAGGAGCTTTCTCTCCAAATAAATCTCTGCTTCTTCGACTTGCCTATCGCTTTAAAATCTTAGAAACAGAGTTAGTTGTTGGTTTTCTTCTTTCTCTTTTCTTTGTCTTTCTTTTTTATTTCTTTTTTGCATACACTTTAACAGAATCGATCTAGAAAATTGAACTACTTATTAGCATTTGCAACTGGGGTGGGGGGAGCAGCCTCCCCCAGCCCACCCCCCCAACTCTGGGTTTCCGGGCTAGTTCCAGAAACCGCGGTTTAAAATTTAACCCTTCGAGGGGAGCTGGTGAGGGCTGGGGTATTGTTTTTTCCCCTTGCTCCCCGCCACGATCAAGTCCGAAATAATTAAAGGAAACGTAAAAGTGCAAAGGGCGCGCCTGACCCTGATAAACAGAGGTCAGATTTCGTAAGGGGATGGGTGAGTGTGAGACTGTGTGTGTGTGTGTGTGTGTGTGTGAGTGAGAGAGAGAGAGAGAGCGCGAGCGAGCGCAATCTGAGTCTCAAAGGCCAAACTCTGGCCAGTCAGGAGCCGGAGGGCTGAGCCCGGCTGACCTGACTTTGAGCTTCCCTGGAGTTATCTCGCATAGGCGCTCGGTCCGTCCAAGGGCACGCGACGCCAGCGGGCAGCCAGTCCCCGTGAAGAATGGCCTCTAACCAACTTATTTTACCTCCTTTTAAAGACAGTGATAAAATGGGCTTTCTCTCTCCACGGACTCACAGCATTCCGGGCAGGCGCACGGCGGGGCAGCGTCCAGCCCGCAGCCCGGATCCAGACACCCCAGCGCATCCCTTCCTTCCCGGTCCCTTCCCCTCCCCGGCCGCCCGAGAGAGGGACAAAGAGTTGCGGCCAAGTTTGAGCGCCGGGCACGGCCAGGCTCAGGGAAGGAAGGTCCCCCGGCAGACACCTGGGTGCCAGAGGTGGTGCGAGGAGGAAAAGCTGGGAGGCGAATTCATAATTCTGGGAGTGGAAGGCAGGCAAGGGAGGGGAATCAGGCCAATCCCAGCCGAGCGAGCCCCCGGCGAGCTGGGGCTCCGGATGGAAGGCCTGTCTCGCGCTCCAAAGAAAAGCAAACGGTCCTGCCAAGTCCGCCCGGGTTGCCGAAGCCCCTCTGGAAAAACTCCCTCCCCTCTTACATCAAACTTTGCGCCGGGCCTCGTTCCCTCCCGGGTAGGCAGCGGCGCAGGAAGGGTTAAGCCAGCCCGTCCCAGCTGACAGTCAGCTGATTGGGCCCTGATTGACAGCTCCGAAAAGTTTCCTTGTTTCTATACTATTATGCTAATCGCGGCCGCTCTCGCCGCCTCCCATTGGCCCGGAGTGCCAGTCAATTTCTCATTTGGACCTGACGTCACGAGTGCTATAAAACTCAGCAATTGCTTTAAACTCTTCTTGCTGGATCAGAGGCTTTAAAATCTTTTTTCATCTTCGAGCTGTAGCTCGGGCTGCTTGTCGGCTTGGCCTCCCCCTCCCCCCTTTGCTCCCTGCCTTGTCTTTCCCCAGGACTTCGCTATTTTGCTTTTTTTTAAAAAAAGCAAGAAAGAACTAAACTCCCCCCTCCCTCTCCTCCAGTCGGGCTGCACCTCTGCCTTGCACTTTGCACAGAGGGAGAGAGCGCGCGAGGGAGAGAGAGAGAGAAAGAGAGAGAGAGGAAAGAAAAAAAATAATAAAGAGAGCCAAGCAGAAGAGGAGGCGAGAAGCATGAAGTGTTAACTCCCCGGTGCCAAAGCCCGCGCCGCCCGGACAGACGCCCGCCGCGCCTCCAGCCCCGAGCGGCCGCCGCGCGCGCCCTGCCTGCAGCCCGGGCCGGCGAGGCGAGCCCTTCCTTATGCAAAGCGCGCAGCGGAGCGGCGAGCGGGGGACGCCGCGCACCGGGCCGGGCTCCTCCAGCTTCGCCGCCGCCGCCGCCGCCGCCACCGCCGCCGCCACCGCAGCCCGCGGAGGACCTTCCAGAGCCTGAAGCCGCCGGCTCTGCGCTCAAGGAGGCGAGCGAGCAAGGAGGGGCCGGGGCGAGCGAGGGAGCACATTGGCGTGAGCAGGGGGGAGGGAGGGCGGGCGCGGGGGGCGCGGGCAGGGCGGGGGGGGGTGTGTGTGAGCGCGCTCGGAGGTTTCGGGCCAGCCACCGCCGCGCGAGCTAGAAGCGCCCCAGCCCGGCAAGCTGGCTCACCCGCTGGCCACCCAGCACAGCCCGCTGGCCCCTCTCCTGCAGCCCATCTGGCGGAGCGGCGGCGGCGGCGGCAGGAGAATGGCATCAGAACTGGCAATGAGCAACTCCGACCTGCCCACCAGTCCCCTGGCCATGGAATATGTTAATGACTTCGATCTGATGAAGTTTGAAGTGAAAAAGGAACCGGTGGAGACCGACCGCATCATCAGCCAGTGCGGCCGTCTCATCGCCGGGGGCTCGCTGTCCTCCACCCCCATGAGCACGCCGTGCAGCTCGGTGCCCCCTTCCCCCAGCTTCTCGGCGCCCAGCCCGGGCTCGGGCAGCGAGCAGAAGGCGCACCTGGAAGACTACTACTGGATGACCGGCTACCCGCAGCAGCTGAACCCCGAGGCGCTGGGCTTCAGCCCCGAGGACGCGGTCGAGGCGCTCATCAGCAACAGCCACCAGCTCCAGGGCGGCTTCGATGGCTACGCGCGCGGGGCGCAGCAGCTGGCCGCGGCGGCCGGGGCCGGCGCCGGCGCCTCCCTGGGCGGCAGCGGCGAGGAGATGGGCCCCGCCGCCGCCGTGGTGTCCGCCGTGATCGCCGCAGCCGCCGCGCAGAGCGGCGCGGGCCCGCACTACCACCACCACCACCACCACGCCGCCGGGCACCACCACCACCCGACGGCCGGCGCGCCCGGCGCCGCGGGCAGCGCGTCCGCCTCGGCCGGTGGCGCGGGGGGCGCGGGCGGCGTCGCTGGTGGCGCGGGGCGCGCGCGGTGGCCCTGCCAGCGCCGGGGCGGCGGCGGCGGCGGCGGCGGCGGAGGCGGCGGGGGCGCGGCGGGGCGGGGGCGCCCTGCACCCGCACCACGCCGCCGGCGGCCTGCACTTCGACGACCGCTTCTCCGACGAGCAGCTGGTGACCATGTCGGTGCGCGAGCTGAACCGGCAGCTGCGCGGGGTCAGCAAGGAGGAGGTGATCCGGCTGAAGCAGAAGAGGCGGACCCTGAAAAACCGCGGCTATGCCCAGTCCTGCCGCTTCAAGAGGGTGCAGCAGAGACACGTCCTGGAGTCGGAGAAGAACCAGCTGCTGCAGCAAGTCGACCACCTCAAGCAGGAGATCTCCAGGCTGGTGCGCGAGAGGGACGCGTACAAGGAGAAATACGAGAAGTTGGTGAGCAGCGGCTTCCGAGAAAACGGCTCGAGCAGCGACAACCCGTCCTCTCCCGAGTTTTTCATGTGAGTCTGACACGCGATCCCAGCTAGCCACCCTGATAAGTGCTCCGCGGGGGTCCGACTCGGGTGTGGGCTTGCTAGTTCCAGAGCCATGCTCGCCACCACCTCACCCCCCACCCCCACCGAGTTTGGCCCCCTTGGCCCCCTACAGACACACAAACACGCATGCACACCACACACACACACACACACACCCCACACCCTGCTTGAGTTTGTGGTGGTGGTGGCTGTTTTAAACTGGGGAGGGAATGGGTGTCTGGCTCATGGATTGCCAATCTGAAATTCTCCATAACTTGCTAGCTTATTTTTTTTTTTTACACCACCCCCCCACCCCCGGACTTGCACAATGTTCAAAGATCTCAGCAGAGTTCTTCATGTGAAACGTTGCTCACCTTTGAAGCCTGCATCATTCACATATTTTTTTTTTCCTTCTTCCCCTTCAGTTCATGAACTGGTGTTCATTTTCTGTGTGTGTGTGTGTTTTATTTTGTTTGGTTTTTTTTTTAATTTTACTTTTGGAGCTTGCTGTGTTGCCCACCTTTTTTCCAACCTCCACCCTCACTCCCTCTCAAACCATCTCTTCCGAGATGAAAGAAAAAAAAAGCCAAGTTTTTTTTTCTTCTCCTGAGTTCTTCATGTGAGATTGAGCTTGCAAAGGAAAAAAAAAAATGTGAAATGTTATAGACTTGCAGCGTGCCGAGTTCCATCGGGTTTTTTTTTAGCATTGTTATGCTAAAATAGAGGAAAAAAATCCTCATGAATCTTCCACAATCAAGCCTGCATCAACCTTCTGGGTGTGACTTGTGAGTTTTGGCCTTGTGATGCCAAATCTGAGAGTTTAGTCTGCCATTAAAAAAACTCATTCTCATCTCATGCATTATTATGCTTGCTACTTTGTCTTAGCAACAATGAACTATAACTGTTTCAAAGACTTTATGGAAAAGAGACATTATATTAATAAAAAAAAAAAAGCCTGCATGCTGGACATGTATGGTATAATTATTTTTTCCTTTTTTTTTTCTTTTTGGCTTGGAAATGGACGTTCGAAGACTTATAGCATGGCATTCATACTTTTGTTTTATTGCCTCATGACTTTTTTGAGTTCAGAACAAAAAAGTGCAACCGTAGAGCCTTCTTCCCATGAAATTTTGCATCTGCTCCAAAACTGCTTTGAGTTACTCAGAACTTCAACCTCCCAATGCACTGAAGGCATTCCTTGTGAAAGATACCAGAATGGGTTACAAATTTAACCTGGCAAACATTGAAGAACTCTTAATGTTTTCTTTTTAATAAGAAAGACACCCCACTTTGGGGACTAAAATTGTGCTATTGCCGAAAAGCAGTCTAAAGTTTATTTTTTAAAAAGAGAAATCTGCCCCATTATTTTTGGTTGGTTTTATTTTTATTTTATATTTTTTGGCTTTTGGTCATTGTCAAACGTGGAATGCTATGGGTTTCTAGTATATAATTTAATTCTAGTTTTTATAATCTGTTAGCCCAGTTAAAATGTATGCTACAGATAAAGGAATGTTATAGATAAATTTGAAAGAGTTAGGTCTGTTTAGCTGTAGATTTTTTAAAAGATTGATGCACTAAATTGTTTACTGTTGTGATGTTAAGGGGGGTAGAGTTTGCAAGGGGACTGTTTAAAAAAAGTAGCTTATACAGCATGTGCTTGCAACTTAAATATAAGTTGGGTATGTGTAGTTTTTGCTATACCACTGACTGTATTGAAAACCAAAGTATTAAAAGGGGAAACGCCCCTGTTTATATCTGTAGGGGTATTTTACATTCAAAAATGTATGTTTTTTTTTTTTCAAAATTAAAGTATTTGGGACTGAATTGCACTAAGATATAACCTGCAAGCATATAATACAAAAAAAAAATTGCAAAACTGTTTAGAACGCTAATAAAATTTATGCAGTTATAAAAATGGCATTACTGCACAGTTTTAAGATGATGCAGATTTTTTTACAGTTGTATTGTGGTGCAGAACTGGATTTTCTGTAACTTAAAAAAAAATCCACAGTTTTAAAGGCAATAATCAGTAAATGTTATTTTCAGGGACTGACATCCTGTCTTTAAAAAGAAATGAAAAGTAAATCTTACCACAATAAATATAAAAAAATCTTGTCAGTTACTTTTCTTTTACATATTTTGCTGTGCAAAATTGTTTTATATCTTGAGTTACTAACTAACCACGCGTGATGTTCCTATGTGCTTTTCTTTCATTTTCAATTCTGGTTATATCAAGAAAAAGAATAATCTACAATAATAAACGGCATTTTTTTTGATTCTGTACTCAGTTTCTTAGTGTACAGTTTAACTGGGCCCAACAACCTCATTAAAAGTGTAAAATGCATCCTTTTCTCCAGTGGAAGGATTCATGGAGGAATAGGGAGGCAGTAATTCAGGGTGAAATTACAGGCTGTTTTTTGAGGTGAGGAGGCTGGCCCCATATATCGATTAGCAATATTTAATATAGATGTAAATTATGACCTCATTTTTTTCTCCCCGAAGTTTTCAGTTTTCAAATGAGTTGAGCCGTAATTGCCCTTGGTGGGAAAACAAAACAAAACAAAACAGTGGAACTAGGCTTCCTGAACATGGCCCTGCGCTTCTGATCAGGGGCAAGCCCATCCAAAGACAGAGGAACCGGACAAATATGGCGCCTCAGAGGTGGCTTGGGCACATAGGCATTTAATGGTAAAGAGAAACAGCGCTTGCCTTTTCACTAAAGTTGATTATTTTTCCTTCTTCTCTTACACACCGTGATTTTCTTGTTAGCAAGGCCTGACAAGATTTAACATAAACACTTTAGACAAATCAAAGTTGTTTGTTTTGTTTTGCTTTTCTCTTTAACATTGAAGGTCATTTGTCTTAAATAGGAAAAAGAAAATCTACTCCTTACTTCCATAGTTCCAAGTACGTATCTGGTTTAAACTGTGTTATCAAATCATATTTCACCATGAATATTCAGTGGAGAACTTCTCTACTTAGATGAGCTAGTAATGATTTCAGATCATGCTATCCCCAGAAATAAAAGCAGAAAATAATACCTGTGTGGAATATAGGCTGTGTTTTCATTTATTGGTATTTACCCCAAAATAGGCTGTGTATGGGGACTGACTTAAAGATCACTTGGAAAGACTCAAAACTACCTTCACTAGCAGGACTCCTAAGCACTGACCTATTTTTAAATGACACAAATTCATGAAACTAATGTTACAAATTCATGCAGTTTGCACTCTTAGTCAACTTCCCCTAGCACACTAATAGAATGTTAGACAAAGCCAGCACTGTTTTGAAAATAGAGCCAAACACGATGGCTTTTGTTTTGTTTTTTGCAGTTCTTAAAAAAAGATAATATTGCAAGTCTGACTGAAAGACTTATTTTGAAGAAAACAGGTTGTGTTTGGTGCTGCTAAGTTCTGGCCAGTTTATCATCTGGCCTTCCTGCCTATTTTTCACAGAACTTGAAGACAGTGTATAACCTCGACATTTTGACCTTCCTTTATGTGCTAGTTTAGATAGGCTCCTGAATCCACACTTAATTTTGCTTATCAAAAGTCTTAATAGTAAACCTTCCCTCATGAGCTTGAAGTCAGTGTTCTTGACTCCAGATATTTCTTTCCTTTATTTATTTATTTATTTTTTCCCTGATCACAACTAAGAGATACACAAACTCTGAAGAAGCAGAAATGGAGAGAACGCTTTTACAAAAATTTCAGCATCTGATGAAAGATTTTAGGCAAACACATTCTCAAAATAAGAGTGATATTCTGGATGTAGTTATTGCAGTTACCTCATGACGAATGAGGCCTGGATTGGGAGAAAAATACAGTTGTGTAGAATTAAGCATTTTGGTAGGAATCTACAAGGCGGTTGAATATAATAAACTTTAGAAAATCAAGTGCAGAGGTGCTGGCAAAAATGAGATTTGAGCGGCTGGCTGTAAGAGAGGGTTAACTCCTAGTAAAAGGCATTTTTGCAAATAACAATTACTGAAAACTTTGAAGTGTATAGTGGGAGTGGCACACAAATACATGTTTTTTTGGTTTTTTGTTTTTGTTTTTTTTTTACAAAGAACTCCTAAATCCTGATTAAGTGCCGTTCATTACAAATAAGTCTCTAAATTAAAAAAAAAAATCATATGAGGAAATCTAGCTTTCCCCTTTATGCTGCGTTTGAGTCTTTGTCTAAATAGTGTTAAAATTCCTTTCATTCCAATTACAGAACTGAGCCCACTCGCAAGTTGGAGCCATCAGTGGGATACGCCACATTTTGGAAGCCCCAGCATCGTGTACTTACCAGTGTGTTCACAAAATGAAATTTGTGTGAGAGCTGTACATTAAAAAAAAAAAAATCATATTATTTGCAGTCATGGAGAACCAGCTACCCCGACTTCTGTTTAGTCTCCTTTTTAAATAAAAATTACTGTGTTAGAGAAGAAGGCTATTAAATGTATAACTTCCATAGTAATTAACTATGCCACTTGTCTGGGGGTTTCATAGAGACCCGTAGAAAAGCGCACTCCTGCTTTTCGATTTATGGTGTGTGCAAGTGAACAGGTGCGATGGTTTCAACCTGCCATACTAGTTTTTAAAATTCACTGAAATTACAAAGATACATATATATGCATATATATAATGGAAAGTTTCCCAGAATGCAACAATTAGCATTTTAAAAGCATATATAGGCATGCACATTCTAAATAGTACTTTTTCATGCTTCATTGTTTCTCTGGCAGATAATTTTACTAAGAAGAAAAATTGATATTCAACTCCCCTTCGAAGCCTAAACAAATGCATGGGCAGAGGCTCCAGTGGAGCTGAGCCCCCTGGTTTTCTCGTAGGCCCTAGACAGTATTGCGCTTATCAGTGATGTCAAACCTGCCCATTTGTCAGACATAGCTGTAAATGAAAACAATGTGCGGCAAAATACAAAGTTAGTTAAATACACACCCTCTGTGTGACTTTTTGCTCCCTTTTTTGCTCACAAACTCTCAAAAAAAATCACCTCCTTTAAATTTCCCTGGCTTCTTGCACATTTCCCTTTTCAAAAACCATGTAATAATTTTTTACAATGTATCTGACACATTAATATATTGACATCAAATAGGCAGAGGTTCTACTTTTGCCTAGCAGATAAATCTGCTATGGAGACATCATTTCCTCACTGTCTCAAAGCCATAACTACCTGGGCGCCTTTCAACACAGACCCCTCTGATGGGAAACGGTGTTTATTACTGAATGCAGGATGCTCATGCTCTGATCTTTTCTCCCTGGTGCCTTTACCCCAGTCATTTTTACTTAGCAACACCAATTCTAGATACTTCTGTTCTGAAGTAGAACCTCCCCCTTGCCACACCACCAGTTTTCTTGCTAAAAGCAGTGGACAGAAGGCAAATCGTGGTCACCCTCACAAACATGGCACACAGCTGTCTCGGTAGCTGCATTCCCAGCATGTCCTGGTCTAAATATCTAGAGTTGCCTATGACACGTTCAAAGGCTCCCAAGCACAGTACATTGGGAGTGTTTTGCTGTTGTGGCCGTTGTTTTTGTTTAGGCCAACTTACTTCCGTATTCACATACTCTTGGCTTTATGAAATACACTCCTCCAGTCTACTAAGCCAATCAATATATTTAAAAGTCTGATTGCCACATGAGTCTCTCTCTCTGTATCTCTCTCCTCTCTCTCTCTCTCTTTTTGTTTTTTTCTGTTTTGCCTGCCGGTAAAGACTGAGATAGGTTGGAAGACTAAAATACATGAGTACATGAGTGACAACCTTCAGCCGTCTGATTTCCATGCCAGTAAAACACACAACCAAGCTCTTCTTAGTGCTGCTAATATAAACATTCACTAAGAGGGGATAGGAAGTGAGATTTACCAGCTTCACATTGCTGATTTGCAAGGTTCCCCACTACGATTCTCTGTCATTTGATTTTTCAAAAATAATTTTGTCCTTCTCTTTGAAGAAATGTCTTAGTTCTTTTTGTTTTGGTTTTTTTTAGAGAAGTTTTATCTGCAGTGATAGGCTCCAATTTTTATCTCCTCTGATTATTTGTCAGGATGCTGCATGAATAATTTGGGGCCTGTGCCTTTCTCTTTCCAAGAGAAACTTGGAAGTCGATTTCACTCTTAGCCCACCCTAAATCTAAAAGAAGATATCCGAAGTGCAGGCAGGCCATACAGTAGTTATAAAGGAGGTGGTCCAGGTCCAGCCACCTCAATCAGGATTTGTTTGTTTTGAAGCATTTGCTTAAAAGCAGAGCAAGAGCCTTAACCTACCTTCCCATAACACTGCTTTTCTCGCTTTTGATATAAATCTTCAAAATTCAGACATCAAACAGCCCCAGAAAAGGGGAATTCTCTCCAGGCATTGCTCCGCCCCAGCTCCTGAACAAACCCAGCTCTGTCTAGCATTTTTTCCCCTAGCTGGGGTAGGGGACAGGGTGAGAGAATTTCAGTCTCCCAGGCTGTCTCATGATTGTTGGGGCATAAAGAAACACAGTCCTGCCACAAATTTGGAGCATCTTTACCCTTTGGAGAGGAACAAAACAAAACTAAACAAACAAATCAAATTGCTTTGCATGAAGGCGTAGCAAATAAAATCTCGGGCTCCCTGTTCCCTGCACCATTTGTAGGAGGTGAGAAATGAGGGAAACAAGAGAAAGGAGAACTTTAAAAGCAGGAGGCCCAGGAATAATCCCTGTTACCAGTGTGAATTTCACTTGCTCCGTGGCTAAAGTCAGACCTAGTGTGCATGCATGTATGGCAGAAGTAAACTAGGCTCGGCTGTCCATTTCTTTAAAATATGTTCACATGTTTCCTTTCTGAAAACAATCTTGGGGACCAAACCCCAATGGAGAGATTTGAGGAAATCGTTAATGTCTTAACATTGGAGTATTTATAAATATATCAGTCTGTGCTTTGATGATGGTGATATTTTGGACCAGCCAGACATATTGTGCCAATATTTAAACGGTCACTGCAACAGTTTTGTGACATCATGACAGTATTTTATTGTTTAAATTTGAAGGCCCTCTGTGTGTTTTCCATAAGTATGCCCAAACGAAAAAGGCTGAGATGGGAAGAGCAAACCAACAACACACAGAAATAAGATCTTTATATGAATTTTCATCAGAGTCGTACAGTTTTAAGAAACTCACAAAACACATTTTCCACGACTATGACTGGAATGCACAGTTCCTTACACAAATCGTAGCATTTACTGAGCACCTCTTCTCTTGGTCAACGCAGTTAATTTTCTTTTCCTTTATTTTTATTAAATAACAGTTTTCCCAACAATTAGAACTGTGGATTGCAAAATCACATTCCTCCCTTCTACAGAGATGCACCTTAGATAGATCTTCAGTTACAATTAGAAGGAGCATTAATGCAAGAAAGGAGGATGAAGGAGTCGTGTCTGCTGAGCTTTGGGAAAAAGAGTGGAAGGACAGGAAATAGTTTTCTGTATTTTCCCCTGCACCCCTCGACCTGCCCCTCACCCCCCAACCCAGGCCTTGGTGTGAGCTGCAAACCGGTAATTCGCATTCTGAATTTCTCTATTCTAAATATTCTGATTACCAGCCTTGACCGTTTCCAAGCGAAGATTCCAAAGAGCCATTTTTTCCTTGTGGTTGGTGCTTTCCATTAGGGAACAGGAGAAGTGACGAAACCTTATAGAACTGGGTGGGAAGGAGTGAAAATCACTCTCCTGACAGAATCCCCAACCAAGAAAGTTGTAAAGGGAACACTGGCCTGAAAAATTAGGTCAGGAGTTCAGAGTCCCTTTTTGCAACCAATAGTTGTCCTGGTTCTCTGTATGACCTCAACCACTTCTTGAGGCCTGTAGAAGTGGGTTTCTGACTTTGTTGGAGGGATTCTGCAGAAGGAGAGCAGGCAGAGGATCCCAGGACAATAGGCAACCCCAAACTAGGCCCAGAGAGCACAGGAGAGGAAGGGACCTGCATGCAGAGGCTGGGAGAGTATGGCCCAGACTAACAGGCAAACCTTGGCTTATGACCTCCAGTCACCAGGGGTCAGCTCCGGGTCATTCTGAGTGCCCCCAAAACCTTCCACCAAGAAGGATGTTTGCAGTGTGACTGACAAGCCACTGACAGGTTGTGAGCTCTCCACAGAGTCCTAGAAACAACAGTGAGGTCCTTAGCACCAGGGTCTGCACCCTTGCCACCTGACTCCTGTCCAATCTCAGAGTCCTTTCCATCATTTCTGACACCTTTTCCTCCCATGCCTGGTCATCCAGGGCCATGAAAGAGCCTCAGAAGGCACTGTCCTCAGGCCAACAAGTGGAGGAAGCTGAGGTCTGGGACCCAATAAGTCACCTCCGCCCCTGTTTAAGTGTAGACACAGACAGGGATGGGGAGAAGGTCCGTCCGGGGAGCAGCACTGGAAGCTCAGTTGCAATCTTCAAAGCTGGCCAGAGTTTTTGGTGCAATGGTCTTGAAGCCTGGAATGAAGGAGATGAAGGCAGAGAGGATGCTGAGTTTGTCGCCTCTCCCAGTTTCTAAGAACAACCCTCCCTCCATGCCCCTCCATCATCCCCCACCACCGCCCCCCGTCCCCCGCGGGCCCCAGACAGGAACACCGCATTCCAGTCCTTTATGCATGGGTTCTGCGGGGCCCAGTGGCCCTGGGCATCACTGCCCGAGCCTGGTGGCTGCAGCTGCGTGGGGCTGGGTGTGCTCTCTACCCTCTGGGGTCCCCCAAGTGGTGTACAGCAGGTGCGCAGGGACTGGAGCCCAGACAGAGGGGGCGGGTCCTGAAGATTGCCTGAAGCTACCGCGTCCCTCAGTCCTGGGCAGGGCCTGCAGTCCCAGACCCGCGGCAGAACCCGCTCAGACGCCAGCAACACAGCGCCCCTCGGAGATGCCCACGACGCCGCCCGACGTCCGGGGGCGCTAATGATGGCCGCACGCAGCGCGCCCCAGGGCCCTGCGCCCACCCAAGCTCCCGCACCCCTGCAGGAGCTCGGATTGTGTTCAAATTTGGTTTAAAAAGTCAAGAGTACTGCCCTAGCGGAGCGAGCTCCGGGGATATCAAAACTCCCTGGTGCGCCGCTCTCCTGGGTGGGCGCCTGCAGGGAGGGAGCAAGACTCGGTCCCCGCATGGCTCCGCCCTTCACCTTGAGATCCCCTCGCTCCACCCAATAGCGGCCCCAGGAACCCTCTGTAAATAAGAACATCGGCTCTAAATCATTTGATTTTTATTCTATTAGTTTTCCGGCCCATTTTCCAGATTTTTTTTTTTCTTTTTCTTTCTTTTTTCTTTTTTTCTTTCTTTTTTTTTTTTTTTCCCTGCTTCGGTTAGAGACAGAGTAAGAGGGAAAAAGAGAAAGGCAAGAGGAAAGGCAGATAGCGTGTTTAAAAATCTTTATGGAAATCTCGATACGGTTTGGGGTTTCCGTGGTGTAGTTTGATGCACATTATAAAACAAAGTC